GCATGCTTCATTTTTAACTGGTCACCCAACTTTTTCTGCTTTACTGGAGTGCAAAGCCCCAGAAGGCAGAAAACCATGCTGAACCTATTATGCATCTCTAGGATCTAATGAAGGGCATGGCATGGAGTAGAGGCTCAATTAATGATTTCTGAGCGTAGTCTCCTGTCTACTCATGGACACACAGGAGAAATGAACTTTGACTGGAAAAACCTAAGAATTCTATAAGCAAAAGGCAACTCAGTGGGCAGTATGTTGAACCAATATGTAGTATAAGGAACAGTCAAGCAATTTATGGCAAGTATTCATTAACAGGAAAATAAGGAAAGATATTTTTTAAAGAGAATGGATTAAAGTATTTTGAAAACCAAATAAAACAATTTACACTTAATATTGGGGTTTATTTACCAATTAATCAAGGCATTCACACATTGATCAAATATTTTTGAATACCCACTGTGTGCCTGTTTTGTGACTAAGTCACAAAAACAAACAAGCTATGGCTCACTTCCCTAAAGAGTTCATGTAAAGCAAGTGTGGAGAATACCACAGCACAAAATTGGAAGAACACTCTGGCGGGTAGGTGTTTGTAAACCACTGAGCTAGAATTCTGTCTGGAGAGTCCACAAGCCAAGGAAGTCCTAGAGCACATTCACTCTCCCTTCTCTCCACAGCAGCCATCAGGCAAAGTCTAGGTCATGAGCTCCGGGCTCTCAGCCAAGTGACCCCCGCACAGAGCTGCTTCCCCGGGAGCCCCCTCCTCACAGCAAGACAGCTCTGGCTGCTCAGGCACAGAATTCCATTTTCACAGGGTGCAACACAAAGATGTTTTGCTCCTTTACTTTTCTGGATTCTTCCCCTCCCTTTCTTTTCTCTATCCCTATAGTCACACTGATGCCTGTATTAGTTTGTGAGCTCTGCCATGACAAAGCTCCTTAGACTGGGCAGACTTTTCTCATCCTACTGCAGGCTGGAACCCCACGCCACTGTGTCTCAGGTTGGGTTTCCTCTGAGTCCTCTCTGCCAAACCTTCTCTGTGTCTCCACACGGTCTTTGCTTTGTGTAAGTGTCTGTGTGCCACAGTTCTTTGCTAATAAGTACACCAGCCATATTGGGTTAAGGCCCAAGTAAATGACTTCATTTTACCTAACTGCCTCTTAAAGACCCAGTCTTCATAAAGGCACATTCTGAGGTATTCAAAACTTGGATTTTAACATTAAGAACTTGCAGGAGGCCGGCGACGCGGCTCACTTGGCTAATCCTCCACCTGCAGTGCCAGCACCCCAGGTTCTAGTCCTGGTCAGGGCGCCGGATTCTGTCCCGGTTGCCCCTCTTCCAGTCCAGCTCTCTGCAGAGGCCTGGGAAGGCAGTGGAGGATGGCCCAAGTGCTTGGGCACCTGCACCCGCATGGGAGACCAGGAGGAAGCACCTGGCTCCTGGCTTCAGATCAGCACAGTGCACTGGCCGTAGCGGCCATTTAGGGGGTGAACCAAGAGAAGGAAGACCTTTCTGTCTCTCTCTCTCTCACTCACTAACTCTGCCTGTCTAATTTTTCCAGTCAAAATCATATGAAAGAAAAAGAACTTGCAGTGGACATGATCCAGTTCATAACCATCCCTGTCCCATCTTCTCCTGGCATCAGCTGGCTTAAAAGGCCACAACCACGCAGCCACTTCTACCTCCAACTGAACATGAATTTGTAATCCCAGCCCATAAAGAACTTAGACTAATGTGTTCTCTAAATAAGCTGCACTTGGAAGACACTCTAGGAGGTTCGAAAAAAGTCACAAGAGGATCTAATACCTACAGATCTGATTTAATCAGTTCAAGGCACTGCCTGGGCATGAGGTTATTAAATGTGGAGTCAGAAGAAAACCCAGGGAAGATGACCCGAGTGAAGACTGGGGAATGCTCAGGTATATCCCCAGGATCCCTACGGAGTTCCCATATGGAGAGCGTCACGTAAAACTGTCTCACACAACAAAGCTCAGGGAGATTTGGGGTCCTAACTGACCTCTGGTTTCTTGAATTTTTTCCCACAACTCACACTTTATTAACAGGAAATTAACCAGTAACTGACCCAAGGAAACGGCCCATGAACAGTGGTGGCAGCCGACCCCCGAGGAGTATTTTCTGCCTTTAGGAGTTGAAAGCCTGAGTGGGTGCAGAAGACAGACACTACATCTACTTGCATGGTCCCCATGGCTTTAGGGGAAAATGAATGGTGAATTCAAAATAAATAATTCTGAGTTAGCTCTTTTATCTGTTTTCCCAGTCCTGGAAGTGCTTTTTTAGCAGATGTCATAAAGTTAAGTGAATGAGTAATTTTTGAAACCCTGCTGCAATTTTTCAAAAACTAAGTTTTAGTAGATTTATTTATACTGAACTCCCATTGCACCCTCAGTTTTTGTAGCACATATGAATGGCTAGTTTCCCCCCAAAACATCTGCAGATTATTGTGAGTCATGGTCCCGATGCTACACTTGAGTTCAGAAAAAGAAAACACATAACTGACAGAGAAAAATACCTCAAACGTAGAAAATTCTTAATTTCTGCAAAAACAAAAACTCCTCGTTCCTACAGTATTTTACCTTGAAATAGTTGCAGGTTAGCCTAGAATGCTTTACTTCCTTCCCCAGAGGGTTGAGGGTCACAGTAGAGCGTAGAGAGGTAGAGAAAGACGACTTGGAAAGAAATCCTCTGTATTTAAGTTTAGTGACAATGAAATGGACCTTTATGAATACAAAGCAATGCTTGAAAGTTTGGAAAAGTACATTTTCAACAGTTTTTCTAAAACAGCTTCAAACCTTATCACTACAATAATTATGCAGGCTCAAACACCATATTTCATTTGAATATAATTCATTTTTTTACCATCAGAAAAACTTAAGGAAATATTTGACTCTTAATTTGCAAAAGCTTTCTCCTTATACAACATCAGAATTGCAATTCTCCCACATCTCCCTCTTGACTGAGAATTTTTGGCCCCTGTTCCTTCTTTCTTCTGTATTTCTACATACACGCATACATCCAGATTGGTGAACTAGGAATGACTTCTATACATGGGTGGGAATAGGATTGCAACCCGATACAGGTCAATGCAGGCCATCTGCAACTTAGAAATTTTAGTTTTTCTCCAAAGTCTATGTGTGACATGGTTATGACATGAAAATATTTTCCTCTAGAAATCATTACAAATAGTGATTGTAGGTCAATAGTATTGGTCAAATAGTATTGTAGACCAATCAATAACAAAATTGATAGAATGAAGACTTAGCTTTATTTTATATTAGCATAATGTGAACTTGATTGATAGACAATGGTCTTGAGGACCAAACTACAGAAAAAAAGGGATTTTCTTCTTTTCCGTTTTCCAAAATCATCCCCTACCCTCTTTCAGTCAAAATGTACAACCTCTCAGTGCAGATCACTTTATCTAGAAATAACAGATTTTTATTATTCTCACAATACTGAAAGGATTTACTCTCATTTATGTTTTGTACCTGAAAAAAACCATGAATCAGAAAACTTGAGAAACTGGTCTATGATAAACAAAAACCCATCAAAAATGGTAGAATAGGGATTCATGTTGGCATTGGACTGACTCCTGACCAAATCAAGAAGCCTGCTGGGTACACATACACTGATGCATGAATGATGGTCTTTCTCCACTGGTCTATGGACTTCCCAACCCCATACCCAAAAGCCACTTACTGGTTCTTAGCTGAAGGTATTTGGTCCTGTATATTACTCTCTCCTTCTTGAGTACATGAGTGATCAGACTTGGTATTTTCACCTACTTCTTTCTCCTTAATCATTTAACCTTTCTGGCCTCTCTACTTCCATTAGACTAGATTAGAGTTTCCCCCACGCAAGATGAACTGTATTCTTTTCTTCTCATTCTACATATTTCCTCTTGAGAATCTCAATCACTTCCTTATTTCAACTATCACCCACAGATTGATTATTAAAAATCTTATTTTTAGCCTAGATCTATGAATTTTAGAACTTTCGAACAACCAACTAGAAATTTCCACCTGGATAAACCATAATTATCTCTAACTCATCATATTCAAAGTTAAACTCAATGTCTTTCCCTAAAGACATACCTGCTTCGTGAGTGCCAGGATCATTAAGTGGCATTGTGATCACCTAGCTGACCTTCTGAGATACCAACCTGAGTCATTCTTGACTTCTCATTCCCTGGCCCCCCTTCTAACACCCAGTCATCAACTCTTACCAATAACTTCCTAAATAAGTATTTCCTGAATGTGCCTTGTTTATTCCTATCGACTACATCACCTATCTTTGAGACTATCTAAAGAATTTTAAGTAGAGTTCCTGTTTTCCAATCTCATTTCAAACTTTTACTGCTATTACATTTATTAAAAATTTGTAATCTTATTCTATAAACATGTGTTAAGCACCCACCGTGTGCCAGCAGTGTGTTAGTTTCTAAGATACAATGTGAAAGAAGACACAGTCCAACCCCTCAAGAAGCTCACAGGTTCTACTGGGAAATAATATCAAAATAATAAACTATCTATTAAGAAGTATTAAAATGGAAGTAAGCACAAATTTCAAGGGGGAGCAGTCAGAGAGAAGGCATTTGCCCTAAACAGGAAGTAAGCTTTCTTTTACGTGTTCCCAAACACTTTGCACATTTCTCTGTTTTGCTTCTTCCAACAAGGTCATTGTTAGAAGATTATTAAAGCTGTGGCCAATAATCAGAAGTAAAAAGAGTACGACAATAAATAGACTGGGAGAATGCAATCAAGTGGTGATAGAAACTGAGTATGGTCAGCAGAATCCCATCCATGAAAGTGATTAAAGTTATAATAGGTTAGGAAATGTTGAGTAAGAGGAGAAAACCCAGGGCATAGAGGTTGCAAAAGGAATTTCATCCTGAAGGCTATAGACTTGGAGTTTTCCTTTGTCATATTGACTACAAAATTGCTCAGTAGGTCCATTGGCACTCAGAATCAATCACTAGCCAGGTTTACCTCATCAAATTAAATCCTAGATGCAGAAGCATTCAATTCACTCAAGGTAGCAAACATCTCGTCGCCAGGAAACGTTGACATAGAAATGCTAGCTCATGTAAGGCAACAAATCTGCTTGTTTTAGTGGGTGTCTGGAAAGAATTGGAAACAAATATATCAATTATGACAGAAATGATTCCCATTTTATTTTGTATTAAATTAAGGATAATCTGTATATGATTAAGTATATGTAATATGTATTTTTAAAATAAGTCCTAATGGAGGATTTGACATTAACATTTTGATTCTAATATAAGTACATAATTGATTTTAAGTAATGATTTTTTTAAGTCGAAGTTTATGTAGGAATTCGGTTGTTTGCTAATAGCATCAATTTTTTAGCTTGATTATCTGTTTGATTCTCTTTTCAAGAACTATTTAAAGTACTTATATGGTTTTCATTATCAGCATTATATATTTTACCAAGTATCCATTTGACGTTTTTAAAAGTATGAAAGCTTTACTAAATGTCTTATTTCAGAGACTTCTATTAATTCCTAGAAGAGGTCAGTTTTTTAAGGAAATTTCTTTAATTTGAGGTAACTGAACAGACATAAGAAAAAAAACGAGAATATAAAATAAATTACCAAACTTTAAGAGAAACAAACTCTAAATAAAAACCACTTTAATTTAAATAAAAATTTAAATTGTTCTCTCTACATCTTTGATTTATATAATAGTTATCTTGATAATTATAATGATTTATATGTCTATTTAGACTAATTTCTTAGAGAGCAGAAGTGAGACCAGAAACCTACATAGTGCCTAGCACCATTGATCACTCAATAAATGCTCATTAAAGAGATGTCCCTGGGTTCTTTGCTGTGGTATGTGCAAGCCCCATGCTTCATCACACTGGACTCCCTAATGAATATGGTACCTTTTGCATTCTTATCAATCTTGGACTGTCATTTCCACTTATTCTTTGTTTCTCAACTTATCTCTGCTACTCCCCACGCCCTAGCCCAAATTGCGTGTATCCATAGCTCTAAATATAGCATACAGTCCTGGATCTAAGAAACCAAAATAAGTATACATGGATATACACACATGTATGACATAAGTGACAAAAATATTCCTTGATTATTTCAATCTTTTTTCCAGTGGAACACTCATTTGTTTTTACAAAGAAAATATGATCATATGTTAATAATTAGCCATATATTTTGAAGAAAGTCTAAATAATATCTCATTATGAAGTATCTTTGTATCATTACCCTTAATAAGAATTTTATATTCATGGGGACTGTGGCACAGTAGGCTAAGCCTTTGCCTGCAGCACCAGCATCCCACATGGGTGCTGGTTCATGTCCTAGCTGCTCCTATTCTCACCCAGCTCTCTATTTATGGCCTGGAATAGTAGTAGAAGATGACCCAAGTGCTTGGACCCCTGTACCCCATTTGGAAGACCAAGAAGCTCCTGGATCCTGGCTTTGGGTCAAGTCAGCTCTGGCCATTACAGCCATTTGAGGAGTGAACCAGTGGATGGAAAACCTTTGTCTCGGTCTCTCCATCCCTCTGTCTATAACTCTACCTCTCACATAAATAAATGAAACCTTTAAAAAAAGAATTTTAAATTCCACTTTTGTCAATTCCTGAGATTATATGTATATATGCCAAGTTTTTAGTTGTTTGGAAATTTGGAAATCTCTGTACAGAGTGTACTTAATTCTGCTGTCAAATAAAAGTAGTCATGCAAAGACCATAGCATATCCAAATGGAAACATATTGTTACTAAAATTAATAGTGCCATGGAAACTCCTTAATTAAAAATAGTGGCTGCTGATTTCTGTTTCTAGCCATGATGGAGTAATTAAAGTAGTCTTCCTACTATAAACTATAGAACTATAGAACCTGGTATGATATATACAGCAACACATTTTAGGGATTGGACACTCAGCAGTGTAGCACTGTGACCCCTGAAAGAAGCAAAGCACCTACAGCCCATAAGGGCCAGCTCTGTCCTGTGTCTACCTGAACAAACATTCCAGGCTGTGGCACAGAGACGCAGAGACCTCCAGAGCATGTAGTCTGGCTATACTGAGGAGCAGGAGTCAAGGCTGATGAAACAGGTGGGAGTTACTGAGCACAGGATCCGAGAGGAGAGATGCAGACAAAAATAGAAAGCTCCAGAAATCTCGACGGTCAGGGAGCAAGGACTATGGGAACTGTGAGCATTCTTGAACGTTGCACAATATTGGGGGTAGAAGATTCAGCTCTCTGGCAAGCCAGAAAGGTGGGAGCTCACTGAACAGCCAAGTACTCAAGTATTCAAACTCCCCAGATCCCAGATGGCAGGGAGTAGACTACTCTGGACGTCCCTAGCAAAGGCTAAAGAGAAGTCTCCAAAGGACCGTGTGGATCAGCTGCCTCCCAGAGCAAGCTCTGCACTCTCTATGGAGATGCTACTATCAAGTGCAGACTCTCACCACACAGTGCCAAGCTCTCCAGTACCCTCACAAGCGGCTGCTCACATAAGAGGCAGACACCAACGACTCACACCAGGAAAGGAAAAAACCTCCGACACAAACAGACCCACAGATGACGCAGAAGTTGGAATTAGCTGATAGGACATTCGAAAAAAACTAGTATAATTATATTAAGGACTTAAAGGAAAATGCAGGGGCCGGCGCTGTGGCGTAGTGGGTAAAGCCACCGCCTGCAGTGCTGGCATCCCATATGGGCACCGGTTCGAGTCCTGGTCGCTCCACTTTTGATCCAGCTCTCTGCTGTGGCCTGGGAAAGCAGCACAAGATGGCTCAAGTCTTTGGGCCCCTGAACCCACGTGGGAAACCCAGAAGAAGCTCCTGGTTCCCAGCTTTAGACAAATGCAGCTCGACCATTGTGGCCAATTGGGGAGTGAACCAGTGGATGAAAGACCTCTTTCTCTCTCTCTCTCTCTCTCTCTCTCTCTTTCTCTCTCTCTCTTTCTCTCTCTCTGCCTCTCCTTCTCTCTGTGTGTAACTTTTTTTAAACTTTTATTTAAGGAATATAAATTTACAAAGTACAGCTTATGGATTACAATGGCTTCCCCCCCATAACGTCCCTCCCACCCGCAACCCTCCCCTTTCCCACTCCCTCTCCCCTTCCATTCACATCAAGATTCATTTTCGATTCTCTTTTTATACAGAAGATCAGTTTAGCATACATTAAGTAAAGATTTCAACAGTTTGCTCCCACACAGAAACATAAAGTGAAAAATACTGTTTGAGTACTAGTTATTGCATTAAATCTCAATGTACAGCACACTAAGGACAAATATCCTACATGAGGAGTAAGTGCACAGTGACTCCTGTTGTTGACTTAACAAATTGACACTCTTGTTTATGGCATCAGTAATCACCCTAGGCTCTTGTCATGAGCTGCCAAGGCTATGGAAGCCCCCTGAGTTCACCGACTCTGACCATGGCCTTGTCCAAATATGGTCAAAGTGGAAGTTCTCTCTTCCTTCAGAGAAAGGTACCTCCTTCTTTGATGACCCATTCTTTCCACTGGGATCTCACTCACGGAGATCTTTCATTTAGATTTTTTTTTTTCCCCAGAGTGTCTTGGCTTTCCATGCCTGAAATACTCTCATGGGCTTTTCAGCCAGATCCGCATGCCTTAAGGGCTGATTATGAGGCCAGAGTGCTGTTTAGGACATCTACCATTCTATGGGTCTGCTGTGTATCTCACTTCCCATGTTGGATCATTCTCTCCCTTTTTTATTCTATCAGCTAGTATTTGCAGACACTATTCTTGTTTATGTGATCCCTTTGTTTCTTAGTCCTATCATTATGATCAATTGGGAACAGAAATTGATCACTGGGACTAGTGAGATGGCATTGGTACATGCCACCTTGATGGGATTGAATTGGAATCCCCTGGTATGTTTCTAACTCTACCGTTTCAGGTAAGTCAGCTTGAGCATGTCCCAAACTGCACATCTCTTCCCTCTCTTATTCCCACTCTTATATTTAACAGCGATCACTTCTCAGTTAAGTTTCAACACTTAAGAATAATTGTATATTGATTACAGTATTCAACCAAAAGTATTAAGTAGAACAAACAAACAAAAATACTAAGAGGGAAAACATATTAAGTTGTTCATCAACAATCAGGGTGAGGGCTGATCAAGTCACCATTTCTCATAGTGTCCATTTCACTTTAACAGGTTTCCTTTTTGGTGCTCAGTTAGTTGTCACCTATCAGGGAGAACATGTGGTATTTGTCCCTTTGGGATTGGCTTATTTCACTCAGCATAATGTTTTCCAAATTCCTAACAGGGATCACTTTTCAGTTAAATTTAAACACCTAAGAATAATTGTGTGTTACAGAGTTCAACCAATGGTACTAGAACAAAAAAAAAATACTAAAATGGATAAAGTATTACAATGTACATCAACTGTCAGGACAAAAGCTGATCAAGTCACTGTTTCTCATAGTGTCCATTTCACTTCAACAAGTTTCCCCTTTGGTGCTCAGTTGTCGCTGATCAGGGAGAACATATGATATTTGTCCCTTTGGGACTGGCTTAATTCACTCAGCATAATGTTTTCCAGATTCCTCCATCTTGTTGCAAATGACCAGATTTCATTGTTTTTGACTGCTGTATAGTATTCTATAGAGTACATGTCCCATAATTTCTTTATCCAGTCTACTGTTGATGGGCATTTGGGTTGGTTCCAGGTCTTAGCTATTGTGAATTGAGCTGCAATAAACATTGAGGTGCAGACAGCTTTTTTGTTTGCCAATTTAATTTCCTTTGGGTAAATTCCAAGGAGTGGGATGGCTGGGTTGTATGGTAGGGTTATATTCAGGTTTCTGAGGAATCTCCAGACTGACTTCCATAGTGGCTTAACTAGTTTGCATTCCCACCAACAGTGGATTAGTGTCCCTTTTTCCCCACATCCTCTCCAGCATCTATTGTTGGTACATTTCTGAATGTGAGCCATTCTCACCGGGGTGAGGTGAAACCTCATTGTGGTTTTGATTTGCATTTCCCTGATTGCTAGTGATCTTGAACATTTTTTCATGTGCCTGTTGGCCATTTGGATTTCCTCTTTTGAAAAATGTCTATTGAGGTCCTTGGCCCATCTCTTAAGTGGGTTGTTGGTTTTGATGTTGTGGAGTTTCATGATCTCTTTGTAGATTCTGGTTATCAACCCTTTATCAGTTGCATAGTTTGCAAACATTTTTTCCCATTCTGTCGGTTGCCTCTTCACTCTCCTGACAGTTTCTTTTGAAGTACAGAAACTTCTCAATTTGATGCAATCCCAAATGTTAATTTTGGCTTTGACTACCTGTGCTTCTGGGGTGTTTTCCAAGAAGTCATTGCCGGTACCTATATCGTGCAGGGTATTTCCAATGCTCTCTAATAATTTGATGGTGTCAGGTCATAGATTTAATTCTTTAATCCATGGTGAGTGAATTTTTGTGTAAGGTGAAAGGTAGGGGTCTTGCTTCATGATTCCACATGTGGAAATCCAATTTTCCCAGCACCATTTATTGAATAGACTGTCCTTAATCCAGGGATTGGTTTTGGATCCTTGATCAAATATGAGTTGGCTGTAGATGTTTGGGTTGATTTCTGGTGTTTCAATTCTGTTCCATTGGTCTATCCATCTGTTTCTGTACCAGTACCATGCTGTTTTGATTACAACTGCCCTGTAGTATGTCCTGAAATCTGGTATTGCGATGCCTCCAGCTTTGTTTTTGTTGTACAAGATTGCTTTAGCTATTCGAGGTCTCCTGTGTCTCTATATGAATTTCAGCATCATTTTTTCCAGATCTGAGAAGAAGGTCTTCGGTATCTTGATTGGTATTCCATTGAATGTATAAATTCCTTTTGGGAGAATGGACATTTTGATGATATTGATTCTTCCAACTCTTTCAAATAAATAAAATAAATCTTAAAAAAAAAAAGGAAAATGCAGATGTGTTGAATGAAGTATAGCAATTTCTCAGTAAATGAGTGAAAATTATTTTTAATGACAAAATGTAAGAAACACAATAATTGATATGAAAAAATTCATTGGATGTATTCAATAGCAGATTAGAAACTGCTGAACACATCAATGAACCAGAACATAGGCAACAGAAACTACTCATGTTAAGTCATGCATGTCGAAAATAATAACCAGAATATCAATAACTGGTTAGAACACCAATCTAACACATATATAATTGGAGTTTCAGAAATGGAGGAAAAATTCAGACAAAAAATATTTGAAGAAATAAGAGCTGAAATTTTTCTAAATATAAAAAATATGAACTCACAGATCCAAGAATCAGAGAGCGAGCGAGTGAGCGAGCGACCAAAGCAGAATCACATTGCTCCAAAAGAAACATGAAAAGAAAAACCTTAAAACTTCTAGAGAGGAGGTAAAGCCATGGCCTGCAACACTGGTATCCCATATAGATGCCAGTTTGAGTCCTGGATACCCATTTTTTTTTTAATATTTTGTTTATTTGAGAGGTAGAGTTACAGACAGTGAGAGAGAAACAGACAGAAAGGTCTTCCTTCCGTTGGTTCAGTCCCCAGAAGGCTGCAACGGCCAGAGCCAGGAGCTTCCTTCAGGTCTCCCACATGGGTGCAGGGCCCCAAGCACTTAGGCCATCTTCTACTGTTTTCCCAGGCCATAGCAGAGAGCTGGATTGGAAAAGAAGCGGCCGAGACCTGAACTAGCACCTATATGGGACGCCAGCACCTCAGGCGGAGGATTAACCCACTGCGCCATGGCGCCAGCCCTGGTGCCCCACATCTGATTGAGCTCTCTGCTAATGCTCCTGGGAAAGCAGTGGAGGGTGACCCAAGTGGTTTGGCCCCTGTACCCATGTGGGAGACCTGGAAGAAGCTTCTGGCTCCTGGCTTTGGCCTGGCCCAGTCCCAGCAGGTGCAGCCATTTTGGGGGTGAACCAGCGAATGCAAGATCGATCTCCTCTCCTCTCCCCTCTCTCCCTACCCGTCTCCCTCCCCCCCCCCGTAACTCTGACTTTCAAATAAATAGATAAATCTTTAAAAAAAACTCTTAAAGAAAAATGATGTAAATATCACTAATTCCACATCATAAACAATGTATATAAAAAACAGAAAATTTTATTTTAAAAACTTAACCAAAAAACACTGTCAGTGAAGAATTCTAAATTCTATGAAAATATCATTGAAAAACAATGGTGAAGCCGGCGCTGCGGCTCACTAGGCTAATCTTCCGCCTTGCGGCGCCGGCACACCAGGTTCTAGTCCTGGTCGGAGCGCCGGATTCTGTCCCGGTTGCCCCTCTTCCAGTCCAGCTCTCTGCTGTGGCCCGGGAGTGCAGTGGAGGATGGCCCAGGTCCTTGGGCCCTGCACCCATATGGGAGACCAGGAGGAAGCAACTGGCTCCTGGTTTCGGGTCAGCACAGTGCGCTGGCTGTAGAGGCCATTTGGGGGATGAACCAACAGAAGGAAGACCTTTCTCTCTGTCTCTCACTGTCTATAACTCTTTCTCTCCGTCTTTCTCTCTCACTAACTCTGCCTGTCAAAAAAAAAAAAAAAAAAAGGATGGGAAGGTAAAATATACAATTATATTTTCTTAAATAACACCCAGTGCGATGTATCTTATGAAAGTAGACCTTGTTAAGTCAAAGATGCATATTTTAATCTCAACATAAAGCATGAAAAAGACATAAAGCCCAATAAGTAACATAAAATAACCCAGCAAAAAATCAAAAAGAAGGAAAGAATAAAAAATTATAATCAGTCATGTAAAAATAAATGAGAAAACAGAACACAAAAGATTTAATTGGATTATGCTGGGCCTAGATCAAATGAAATTAGCATAACCATTCCAGTGAAAAGTCAGGTACTATCAGACAGGATAAAGTAACAATTCAACTACAGCAACAGGTAGTTGACTCAGCGGCTTAAGGTACTGCTTGGGGTGCCTGATCCAAGACTGATGTGACTGGGGTTGAATACCAGCTCTGAATACGCACCTTGGGAGGAAACAGGTGATGGCTCAATGCTGGGTCTGCACCCCAGCAGACGGGAGCTCTCTGTCACTCTCTGTGTCTCTGCACCTTTCAAATACCAGTAGGTTTCTTCAACTCAGCAATGTTATTCACAGGACCCAAGTGTAAACACAAAATTATTTAAGCCAGAAAATAGACAAAATGGTAAGGAATAAAGTACAAAATGGTTAAATACAAAATCATTGGAAGTATAAAGGAAAGATGATATCACACCATTAATTATAGGATATATTAATAGGAAATATAGGATATCCACTCCATTAATTAGAGGAAAGCTGGGGTAGCTATATTAATGTCAATGACTTCAAGACAAGAAATATTGCCATGGGTAAAAAAAAAAAATGTATTTCCTAATAATAGAGAGCTTGCGCCGCTGTCGCCCATGTGGTACAGCCATCTGAATCTCCTGGTTCCCAGCTTCAGCCAAGCCCAGCCCTGGCTGTTGGGGCCCATCCAGGGAGTGAACCAGCAGACAGAGAGAGGATTTCTCCGTCTCCCCCTCTCTGTGACTCTGCATTTCAAGTAAATAGACAAATACACCATTATACTTGGAGATGGTCTCTCTCATTTCTCTGCAATTGACAAGAAAACTAAAAATATATAAAATATTATAAAAGATATCAATTCAAACAATTGAATCCAGTTGACAAATGTTAATAGAACGTTACACCTGACTGGCAGAATGCATATTCTTTTCAACAGCTCATGGAATATATGCCTATATAAATCATAAGGTGGAACAAAAAATAAAAAAGTGAAAAGATTGTCATCATAAACCATATGTTTTCTGACTTAAAGGGAATAAAATTGGAAATCAATAACAAAAAGCTCTCTGGGAGTTTTCAGGTCGTTAGGAAAATGACAGTCACTTGAATCCAGGCCTACATGCACGTTATTCTGCAAACTACTGAAGCACCAGCAAGCACAAATAAAATCACACAAAAGGAGACAAAGAACATCATGAATTTCAGTCACTGCCGCAAGCTGTTGTTTGTGAAGAGTGGGTAAAAGAAGATAAAACCAGAATCCAACACAAAACCCTCCTGGGAAGAAACCATCTAATGCCGTGTGTCAAAAAGCCGGACGCAGGTCTTGGACTTGGTCATTCACAGCACCGACTTTGTCAAGGGTCTCTAAGGTGATCAAGGGGAGGAGCAGTGGTGTTGAAGTCAGATGCACAGTGGAAAAGGCAGGGAAGTCAGACTGACAGCAGAAGGGCGGTGCCCCTTGGAGATAAGGGAGCGAAGGGCAGACGGGACATTTCCACCTCTCTCATCACCAACATCGCACATTAAATGCACTGCATTTTACTGAACTGACGCAGAGAGCGCCTTGTTCTAGGACCCTGTCCATAAAATGCGTGGGAAAAAAATCAAAACATATCCACATACAACTTCCTAATACAGAAAATATGACCCCAAACAACCCACTGATGAAAAATTCTACCCCAAATACAGTCCTGATGCAGAAGAAATGTTAGTACAACCATCCCCACTGAATTAAGCAGCTTCATGGAAGACTTTAGGGAGAGGGAAGACATTTTTAAATCATAAATTCTAAAAATAAATAAAAGAATGAGAATGCAATTGGGTAGATCGAGTTAAAGAAGGAAGAAAATAATAGCAGAAATACAGATTAAATAACAGCACACTCAGGTGAGAACAAATTCAAACTTAAAAACTAGCAAATACTGCTAAAAAAAAAAAAAAAAAAAAAAAAGAAGCACCCAAAAGAATAAAGTTTTTTTTAAAAGAGGGAAATTTTAAAAGTTCAGAGACAAAGTTGCTGAAAAGTAAATCTGATCAGAAAAATTCCAACTTTTACATTACTGAAGCCCAGAGGAAGGAAAAGGAAAAGGAGGGAGGGAAAAGAAAATTAACAAAAAGAAATTTCCAAGAATAAGAAAAGCATGAATTACCACCCCAGAAAGGTGCACCAAGTACACAGAATAAGAACCAAAACCATCGACTTTGGGACATACTTTCGTAGAACAATTAAACTTTAAAAAAACTTGTGAAAGTCTCAGGCAAAAAAAAAAAAAAATCTTTTAAAAGGAAAAGAATTTTCCGAAGCAACAGACAAAGCAAGGCAAGAGCAGAGCAGCGTGGCCGAGAAATGTAAGGAAAGTGCAAACCAAGGATTGTAATTTAATTTGTTTAAATTTATTTGAGAGCTATAAACTGAAAAAATTCCCATTTGCCATTTCTTTTTTTTTTTTTTAATTCATTATATTCATTTGACAGAGTTACAGAGAGAGGTAGAGCCAGAGAGAGAAGTCCTCCATCCGATGGTTCACTCCCCAGACAGCTGCAATGGCCAGAGCTGCTCCAATCCAAAGCCAGGAGCCAGGAGCTTCCTCCAGGTCTCCCACGCGGGTGCAGGGGCCCAAGGACGTGGGCCATCTTCTACTGCTTTCCCAGGCCATAGCAGAGAGCTGGATTGGAAGAGGAGCAGCCGAGACTAGAACCGGCGCCCATATGGGATGCCAGCACCCCAGGCCAGGGCTTTAACCCGTTACACCACAGTGCCAGCCCCCCATCTGCCATTTCACCCCCAAAAATACCCACAGTTGTCAGGGCTGGGCAAGGCCAAAACCAGGAGCAGGAAACATAATCCAGAACTCCTATAGGAGTGACAGGGACCCAGCCATCGCTGCTGCCTCTCAGAGGCTGCACTAACAGGAAACGCGCGGGAGCAGCCAGAGCCAGAATGGAACCCAGGCACTCCAGTGTGGGGTGGGCATTTTACTCAGCAGGCTTCACACCCTCCCCAAGCCAAGGATTTTACATCTACCAAGATGTCCTTCAAGTATCAAGAGTAGAGAAAAACAATTCCAACGAAAGGATTAGCTGAATCCAACCCAGAGACGCCTGGGAAATCTGTAACAAAGGACTGGGAGAAGCCGTTCTTTTTTTTTTTTTTTTTTAAACAGAGCCAAGACCGAGAGATGGTGGCAGCTCTAGGTAGAGTATAGTGTGTAAAGAAAGCACACCACAAAAAGTCACAGCTTTCCAATTTGGAGAGTTCTTATAGGCATGATCCTCTTTTGGGAACTTTGTAGTAAATAAAATTTTCTAGTAGGCAAAAGAAGCATACAGATCACTTGGAGTTCATTCCAAATGTTGATTAATCAATATCTCAGTTTAGAACAGTACCCCAGTTCCTACCCTTTCACCACGGTCACAGGTGAGATTTCGTATCAGGGTAAGTAGAACAGGCCCTCCTTAGTGTTTTTCTAAAGCAGTAAGCTAAATTTAAAAGAAAAAAAAATCACAAATAAGAAATTAAAAGGATTCCAATCCTACGTGGGTATGTGTATGTTGCACACGCTTCTACTACCATAGCAATATATTTCAATCCTTTGCCACAAACTAAAGAAATGTACATTTGATATCAGATCATTTTTCCCAACTCAGTGCTACTATTCATTCTTTCAAGTCTCCATAAAGTGAATATTCGTCCATGTCAGAAGGTTGCCAACCTCGTCATTTTCCTAGTATCTGGGGACACGGCTCTGTGTTTTAGACAAAGGCTTCTCGTGTGACGTTCTGAGGACCCAGGGAGCAAGCCTGCCCAGGAGGAACCCCAACGGTAAGGAGCGACACTGGCGTTCATCCACTAGATGTCAGTCATGCAGTTAGCATCAATTTACATTCTTAATCCGGATGGACAGCACCGAAAGCCTAAGAAGCCTACCCGTGTTCAGAATGAACACACTGGACCACAGAAACCCCCAGAATCCCACAGGATGTGGGCTAAAGTTCCGTGGCTGTCAGAGACGCTGCATCGCTCATGAGGGCTCGGAGCAGCCATGAAATGCAAGCTTTTCACAACTTTCTGTGAATTGAGGACAACTCGGGCAGGCATACTTGTGCTGATCTAACCGGTCTACCAGAGACAGGGATGTGCTACCGTCTCGGGGTCAGCATCGAAAACCCTGCCTTGTGGAAACAGGTAACGTTTAGGATACTTCAAAGAACACCTTTCCCTAAAATGCTGTTTACATTGGGAATCAAACTGTCTTGATATAGATTTAAGATGACGACACACATTAGGCGATTGCCAAGAAAAACACTAATTAGCTCCGCATTTGCAAGCGCCCGCCATACTGCGGTGTGTAAGGTTTGTAGGAGAGGTTCTCTAAATCCCTGTGGAAAAGCAGCCTAGGAGGTGCTTACGATTTGGAGGAAGGAAGTTAAATGACTGCTTACTCAGCTTTCACATTGCCACAGTCTGGTTCACTCTGTTGATTGGCACCACGAGTTGTGCTTGACCTCCTATGCAGTTTGACCCATCTCAATACAGCACAGAGCATTCCACACGATTCCCAAAATAAATATGGGAAGCAACATAAGATCACTAAAACCCTTTGGGAAAGCCTTGATTTCATCATCAGTAAAATTAAGAAGCTGAGTTAGTTGGTCTCTGATTTTCCTTCCAGTTCTACCATTTAGCGTTTCTCTAAGCCAACCCGTTATTTTCTCAAAATCATGAAAAACGTTTATGATGGCTCGCTGTCACCTGTTTGTTGTTGCTGAAGACAGAGAAATGTGAATATGCATTACCAGTTACATTACTCTTCTGTAACCCTGATCTCCGCCTTCGTGGTTAAAACTTTATCATTTTTCTCCTCTTTCACATCCGGTGGAAGTTAAGGATTTCTCTCCCAGAGCTCTTCTTTCCATTCCTCAACTCCAACTCATCACCTCCCACTCCTGCATGCCCGCACCTCACAGGGTCCCCGTGGAAAAATTCGTCTGGAGATTCGGTGAGACCCTCCCCCACCTAAATCCTGCTGCAGGTAACTTCAGTTGGGAGAGTTCCCATATTGATATGTGTTTCCAATGCCTTTAACACCATCCACACTGCCAAGATATGAGATCCCCAATACCGAAATTCCTACCAATCCAAAAAGCACACAATCTGAACAAGAGGCGGAACCTCAAGTTCTAAGATGTCCAGACCCAACACACGCCCCCGGGGTCAGGGTCATTGGGATTCTCTTTTTACTCTTCCTAAGACCATGGATGCATTCAGCTACTTGACAACTATCTGTGGGCCTGAGCCCTGCCACCCACTGCGCTGAGCACTGCAGACGAAGCTGTGAGGGAGGTTAGGGTTAGGGTTAGGGTTAGGGTTTAGGGTCTGTTCTCAGGAAAGCCAAAGCCTCGTGGAGGATGGGGACGAAGAAAGGCACCAAGGTTCTCATGGGAAATGAAATCAGTGCCCGGGTTAGGGGGTTAGGATACAATACAGCAAATGCTGTGGTTACCGGTACAAATAAACACAACGCCCCGCAGAGCTGGCACACGGATTCTCCCCAGTAACAGGTACTGCCTAGGGGATGATTTCGCGTAAATTCCAGCACTACAATTCCATGGAACACTAGGCACACGGATTTACAGAGATTACTAGGTAACCCCTTCGTCCAGATACTACTTTAGAATTCTGGGGGCCTGGCTAGCCCTAAAGAATATATTACTCAGAGAACAGATTCCAGCCCACTGTTTTCATTATCAGATTTATTTTTATGTCTTCAAATCCCTTGTCAAAGTGTGTTGCCACCTGCAAAGAGAGAGGGAGAGAGCGAGGGAGAGAGCGAGATGCCATGAAAAGCCATCTCCTCCTCCTTTGTACTTTTCATATTGGGTTCCCTTGGAAAGAATTTAAGCAGAAAACCCTAGAAGGCCTCAAAGTCAACCCTGCTGTCACTTTGCACAACTTCTAAAGGGAGAGATAGCTAATGGACAGTCAGAAGGTAAAAGTTTATTAAACCAAGAATTAGCTCGTGACCTTCTCAGGATGTGGCAGGAATACATGACATGAAGTATACAAGATAACTCAAGCCCTCGAAAGGAGGAACAAAATATTCAGGAGACACAGGAATAACATAACCCAGATTTAATGGACGTTTATCCAGCATTGTATAGTCCACAAGGGGCTCTCGGCTTATTAGCTCCTCGCCATAATCCCGTGAAGTGTGATTCCTAAATGAAGGGCATCAGGGCCCCAGTGAAACGCAGCCTGTGAGGTATCACAAACACGTGGTCTGCTGGTGCTGCCGGCCGGGTGGGACCACGCCCCGCGTTAGCGGCCACGGCAAGGGCCGTGAGAAAAGAAGTTTCTGGGCGAGTAGGACCTCAGGAAGGCAGATTGAGTAGGCACTGGACACCAGTGAGACGAGTCTCAGAGAAGAAAGTGGTGTGTTTAGCAATGGACGTCACTTGGCCATCAAAGACTGAAATTACATCATTTGCAGCCACAGATGAAACCAGAGGACATTGTGTCAAGTGAAGTAAGTCAGACACACCTCGTATTTTCACTTACCTGGGCAAGTTACAAAGTTACCACATAGAAAGGGAGAGTACAGGGCCCTGCGTTTTGGTGCAGCCCGCTAAGCCGCCACCTGCAATGCCACCTTCCCATATGGGTGCTGGTTGGAGTCCTGGCTGCTCTACTTTCTATCCAGCTCCCTGCTAATGGCCAGGGGAAAGCAGTGGAAGATGCCCAAGTCCTTGGGCCCCTGCGTCCACATGGGAGACCTGGAAGTGGCTCCTGGCTCCTGGCTTCAGCCTGGCCCAGCCCTGGCCATTGTAGCCATCTGGGGAGTAAACCCACAGATGGAAGATTCTCCCCCCCCTCCCTCTGTGTAACTTTCAAATAAATAAATCTTTAAAAATCTGCAGGGTACAGTAATGGTAACTGTTGCTTTGGGTATACAGTTGGACAGGAGGAATCACTTCCGATGCTTTCTGATGACCTTTCTCTGTCTCTCTCTCTCTCTCTAACTCTGTCAGAAAAAAAAAAAAAAAAGGCAAGTTTAGGGGCCAGCACCGTGGTGCACTAGGTTAATCCTCCGCCTGTGGTGCCGGCATCCCACATAGACGCCAGTTCTAGTCCCAGCTGCTCCTCTTCCAATCCAGCTCTCTGCTATATAGTATTTGTAGGATAGCTATAACAATTAATTCTATATAACTAGTAGAGAGGGTGTCCCCAACACTAAGAAACAGTAACTGGTTAGCGTGCTAGCCATGTCAGTTACCCTGATCTGATCACTACACCATACACACACATTGAAATATAGTGCTCATACCTATAGTTCTTAGGTGTCCATGAAGATAATCTATATTTTAAATGGCATGTTCATGACTACATATCTAGATTACACTCCAGCCATTAGATATCCAGCCTAGTCATCCTTCCAATATTACTGCATTTTCTCCTAAACAGTTGTTAAAGCAAAGTGGGGGGCAGTCTCCCTGGGGGGCGGCCTGCTACAGATGCGGAAAGCCAGTAAGCTTGTGGAAAGTGGAATTAAAAACAAGTTTATAGACAGCGCCACAGCTCACTTAGCTAATCTTCCACCTGCGGTGCCGGCACCCCGGGTTCTAGTCCCAGTTGGAGCGCCAGATTCTGTCCCAGTTGCTCCTCTTCCAGTCTAGCTCTCTGCTGTGGCCCAGGAAGACAGTGGAGGATGGCCCAAGTGCTTGGGCCCTGCACCCGCATGGGAGACCAGCAGGAAGCCCCTGGCTCCTGGCTTTGGATCGGTGCAGTGCCAGCCGCGGGGGCCATTTGGGGGGTGAACCAATGGAAGAAGACCTTTGTCTCTCTCTCTCTCTCACTAACTCTGCCTGTCAGGGAAAAAAAAAAAAGGCAAGTTTAGGGGCCAGCACCGTGGCGCACTAGGTTAATCCTCTGCCTGTGGTGCCGGCATCCCACATGGACGCCGGTTCTAGTCCCAGCTGCTCCTCTTCCAATCCCGCTCTCTGCTATGGCCTGGGGAAGCAGTAGAAGATGGCCCAAGTTCTTGGGCCCCTGCACCCGCATGGGAGACCTGGAAGAAGCCCCTGGCTCCTGGCTTCGGATTGGTGCAGTTCTGGCAGTTGCGGCCATTTGGGGGATGAACCAACAGAAGGAAGACCTTTCTCTGTCTCTCCCTCTCACTGTCTGTAACTCTACCTCTCAAATAAAATCTTTAAAAAAAAAAGTTACTTTTTGATGCAAAAATGTGAAATTCACATTTCAAAAAGTCCATGAACGATATGATTCAAAAAACTATGCAGGGCCTGTGTTGCGGCATAGCAGGTAAAACCGCAGCCTGCAGTGCCAACATCCCATATGGGTGCCCGTTCAAGTCCTGGCTGCTTCACTTCTGATCCAGCTCTCTGCTAATGGCCTAGCAAAGCAGTGAAAGATGGCCCAGGTACCTGGGCCCCAGCACCTGTGTGGGAGACCCGGAAGAAGCTCCCGGCTCCTGGCTCCAGATCTGCCCAGCTCAGGCTGTTGTGGCCATTTGGGGAGTGACCAGCAAAGGAATCTCTCTCTCTTTCTCTCTCTCTCTCTCTCTCTCTCTGCTTTTCTGTAGCTCTGACTTTCAAATGAATAAATACATCTTTTTAAAAAACTATGCAGGCATTTCAAAAAATGTTGCACCAAAATAAACTTATTCAATTAACTCCATTTTCCATGAAATTTTAGAAGCACCTGTGAGAGAAGCAGAGGTGCTGAGCATGCATTACCTCATTTAACTCACACAACAACAACCCTATAAGCTCTTCCTGGGTCTCTGTAGATCAAGAAGCGGAGTCTTGAAATACAAGGAACTTGCCCAAGCTTTACACATCTGAAGGAAGAAAGCTGGATGTGAAGGCAGATCTGCCTTATTTCAGAATAATCCATGCATTCTTGAATACTTATGTTTCTGCCCACCCTCATGTGTTGTTATGCTTATTCCATCCAACCTTTCCTACCCCTCTTTTTTTGAGACTTACTATATATTTTTTAAATTAGAACCATGTTTGCTAGACCTTGAGATATGAGGTTCCTTCTTGCCAAATTATTTAAAGGAATATAGGATAAACCATTAACATACTTAATATAATTCAAAAAGCAGAGATACATGGACACAAGATATCACGTAAAAAGAATTCGATTGTGGAATAAACATCTAAAGAAGATTGAGCAACTAGATAGTTTAAACTCTTACTTACCTACAAATAAATTAATGCTTTTGAGAGACCAGGCAAATATTTGGGAATCAACTTGATCACATTCCTCAATTACTTTAACATTCCGAGGAAGTATGAAATCATATTGTCATTAGAAATTTTGTATGTGTGCTCCAAAGAAAATATTTTAGTAATATATATTGCTATAGCAAAGGAATATGGATAGTAACTCTTCTTATAAGTTAAATTGTAACTGCTATAATCCAAAAGTTGTACTTTCAAAATTTATATATCTTAAATAAAAGTTTTCTATAAAAAATAAGTTAAATTGTATTTTCAGTACTCCATGGGGAGAAAATTTCTACTGTCAGATCTCATGGAAAATGTTAGAAAGCAAATGTTTTTACCCCTTATCCCAATTTACCTTCCATTGTCTTAAAGTGAACGCCTCAGGTATTGGTCATATCCTGGCATGAAAAATAATTAGATGGCTCTTAGATAAAGGAGGTTATAAACTGAGCCCCCTGGGCCCCAAAAATGCTGCATCCGAAAGCAAACAACCTAGGAATTGTTCCCTATTTGGAAAATTGTTCATTTATATCCCCTCCCACTTCCTCAATATTCCAACCTTACCCCAGCTGGCCGGCCGGCCCCACAATCCAGTTAGACTCCCCAGCAGAAACAAAATGTGTACACACTGTAGCTGTAATTCAATTAATCTTCTCCTTGGGTTTCCTCCGCTCCGTGCCAGGGTCATTTGTAGGGCCATCACTCACTCCCAACTGTTGCACCTGTGCTGCTATTGAAACACTCTTCCTCCCTCCCACCCCCTGCCCTGCCTCTATCCCCCCCCAGGCTCTAGGGGCCCTAATCACCTTTTTCCCAGGCACAAAAGCTTTCCTCTGCCAGCAAGGAATGCTAGAATTCCCCCAAGCATTGGCAAGGAAATATTTAAATGTAATCAGAGGCTCTTCCTTTGTTTAATTTTTTTTCCTAGGGAAATTAATCTCTCTAAGGGATTGGATGCATTCTTCCGCTCTTCTGTGAGGCAGCAGCATCACACAGTGCTGAAGTGGTCGGCAAAGTATTTTCTCCTGTGCTACTGACACAGATGATAAGCATCACTAATTGAATCCTTTGCTTCATTTAAACTGTTTTAAAGTTGGCTGTGAGAAACACGGGTATGTGCTCCCATGCCCCGTTCCTGCTCCACCTGGGATTGGCGAATGCAGAATCGGGGCCAGCTGTGCCTTCCCCAAGCCGCCCCCTCCCAACAGATGGTTCTGGCAACACCACCAAGCTTCAGAAACTTCTCAGGTCTCTTCTCCAGCCACTGCTAGTCTGTGGCCCTTCCCGTTCCATAGACTTCCTGGCTGAAAAGCTAGGCTCGCTTCTATTGAGGGACTTCAGAAAGTGTGTGTGCAAAAAAATAAATAAATAAATTGTGATGCAACAAAAATTGAAATCCTTGCACATAAGGAATCTTCCAAAGTTCATGAAAACACATGGGAGGCAGCAGCTGATGGCTCAAATAGTTGAGTCCCTGCTACCCAGGTGGAGAAAGTTCCTGGCTCCAGGATCTGGCCTGGCCTGGCCCAGCCCTCACCAATGCAGGCATCTGAAGAGTGAACCAGTAGATGGGAGCCCTGTCTCTGTCTCTCAAAAGGAAAAAAAAAAAAAAAAAAAACTCTGGATGGAATTCAACATTTTTTGCGTGAAAATAAACTTATTTTTCCATTCCATTTCCCACAAAAATGTTTTAAGTCTCTTCATAAACATTTAAAAGTTTGAAAGTGCTTTGAAAGTCAAACTAGTCTTAAGAATCTGTTCTATCGCTTAGCTGTGTGCACACAGATAACTTACTTGACTTCTCTGAACTTTAAAGTGCTGGGATAATAACAAAAATGTAGGGCTGCTGTGTGCATTCAATGGGATAATAAATACAGAGTCTAGCATAACACCTGACACCCATTTATATTAACCACGTTCTTATTTGCTGTATTTTCTTATGGAGAGACTACTCCTCCTTAGAAACAGCAAAGGGCCAGGGAATACCCCAACCAATCCTGAGTGTGCAGCCCCAAGCCCCTCCCTATCCAACTCCCACACCCCAAGCCACTATTTTTCCCTGTCTTAAATTATCCCAGGGACAGGTACCACACAGCCACAGACCACCTCAGTGTCACAAAACCCACTAGAACTACTCAGACTTCCAATCCTGAACTCTTCACTCTGCCTTGTCTGCAAAACCCCTGCTAGGAGCCCAGCCTGGGCTTTGTGCTTGCCCCGGCTCCTGCCTCCACTCCCACACCACTGCCCCCCTGCGGCGCTGCCCGGCACTGCACTTCTCATTCCCAGGGGAACTGTGAGCAGCCAACTTTTCTCTCGGTGGCCTTGACCTCTGCATGTCATCACCCAGTCACACCTCTATACATTAACTCCCAAGCTTAATTTTAGGACAGCGTTGAATGACTGTGCATGTCCTTCCATCCCACATTGTCATTTAACAATTCCTGAGCGCCCACGCCTTTTAATTAGATGACACAGGCAAAGAAGCAGATGGGTCTAACGCCACTGCCGTCCAACCATCGAGATGCAGATGGGCCTGGTGTCTGAGCTGATGTCTGACAGTCTGCGATGCTATTATATGGCTGTGTTGGGAACATGGGTGGCCATTAAA